GAGTCCCTCAAAGCCCCAAGGCTGCAGCAGGAGCGGAGAATCCCAGGGCTTTTCTCGGTTTTTTTTTTTTTCTTGAAGGGCCAGAGCTGGCCCGGGCAGGGCACCTGTGGCGGGGGGCTGGGAGAGGGGGTTGGGGGTTCATGCAGAGCCCCTCATGCAGTGGGGGGCAGCAGGGAGGGGCTCCCACACAGCAGCACCTGGTGAGTCAGAGGTTTTTTTTAAAGCACCGGGAGCTGGGGTGGGCAGGGCAGCCATGGTGGGGCTGGAGGAGCAGGCAGGGGTTGTGGGGGCTGGGGGAGCAGGCAGGGGATGAGGGCTGGCAGAGGTCCCCCCATGGTCCCCTCTTTGAGCTGCAGCTAGTGGGGACTGCCCGAACCATCAAAGCTCTCCGAATCTTTTCTGAAGATTCGGAGAGCTTTGAATCAATTCAGACATTTTAATTGGTCTCCTTATTTGATTCGGATTCAGAGATTCAGCCACTGAATCAGGCTGAATCTCCTCCAAATCGAATCACCACCTGAAGCTTCGCGCAGTCCTAAAATCTGCAAACTCACTTCAATCTCTTACCCTCAGATCTTTTGGACTGAAGTCAGAGAATAGAGTGTGTGGAGTTATTTTGCTTTAGCTTTTCTGAAAGTGGATGACAAAAGATTTACAAACAAGAAAGGGCTAAGTTTTTGGCTCCTATGTTATCTAGTTTGTGTTGTCCAGCAGTTAGAAACCTAACCTAACTGGGCAGTCAGTGATCCTCCTGAGACCACAGGATTTTTAGGTGGAACAAAGTCACCTCTATACTACCCATTCTACCTCCATCTTTGTCAGGTGACCTGTCCATAGTGGGAGGTAACAAAACAGAGCATATGGTGGTCAACTAGATCCTTGGCTAGTGCATTGGGTCACTGCAGACAGCAAGGTTTGCAGAAGTCCTAAGGTTACCCTTATTTGCATTTACGCAAGTTCAAGGGTTGGCTCAACTGATGGTTAGCATTATAGGTCCTCACAGTTTTTTCAGCATCCTCAGTGCAAATTCTGTGCAACAGGAGACTGAGTTTAAAAGGTGCAGTTTTTCACCCTCATCAAACACAAAATTGACTAAGAAAATTTTCATAGGATCAGAAAGACAGGGATAAAAGGGTGTCTTTGCACATGCTCTGGAGTGGGGGGGGAAAGGGGGACCTTTAATTAGAATGGCTCTGAGAGGCTCTCTAATTAAAGTGCTGGAAGCATCACATGTATTCAGCATCCCATGCTTCAAAATGGCAGTAGAGGCACTTTAACTAAAGTTTGTTCAACGAAGCGCAGGGACTTGATTAATCTGCTGCTAATTAGCACACATTGGAGCAGACGTTCAGCACATGTATAGATGCCCAAAGAGACTTCAAGTCACCCCTGCTCAGGATAGAATCATCCCTGTCTAAATCATCTCATCCAAGTATTTATCTATCTAACCTGCTCTTAATAACATCAAGGATGAAGTTCCCACAACCTGTCAGGGTAGCCTGTTGCAAAGCTTAACCACCCTCAGTGAAAAAGTTCTTCCTAATACAGGAATCCCTTGCTTTATGTGGGTTTTCTATGTGCAAATTCACTTTTATGCGATGACCCTTTTTATACCAAAAATCTGTTATATGCGAGGTAAATTCACTCTTATGCGATCAGTGTGGTGGAAGCCCTCAGTCAGCTGCTTTGTGCAGTGCATTTTGGGAGTGATGTGCACCAAAATATGCTCTCCTGTGTGGATCTGTGCTCCTCACTCATTGTCTGCGACACGTGTTTCTCTAGTTGCCATCCCCATTATGATAGTGCCCTGTGCTTGTGTGCACTGTCTGCTGTTGATGAGTACCAAAATTGTCTTGTAAAAGTGGTAGAAATGGGCCTGGGGGTCAGTACAGTCGAGGTCTTGGAACATATCCCTATTTGTAACTTGGTAAAGTGGGTTCCCTTCATGCGATTTCAAGTTATGCACTGTTTTCCAGGAACACATATACAGCAAAGAGCGAGGGAAACCTGTACCCACTCTAAATTCCCGTTGTTACAACTGAAAACTTTTTGTCCTGCTCCCTGAGGCCACAGGGATTAATTTATCACTGTCCTTTTCAAAATCATCTTTCACGTGTATGAAGACTGTTACGAATATTTCCTTGTCAATCATGTTTCCCAGACCTGTAATCATTTTTGTTGCTTTCCACTGGGTTCTTTCAAATTTATCTGGGTCTTCCTTGAAGTGTGATGGCCAAAACTTAACACAGATTAGACCTCACCAATGATGGACAGAATAAAAGAATCACTTCCCTAGACTTGCAAATGACACTTCCTTTTATACAACCCAGTTTGCTATTGGCTTTTTTCAGATTACAGATTACATGGTTAGCTCATTCACTTTTCAGTCCTCTATTTCCCAAGGTCCTTTTCTGCAGTACTGCTGCCCAGCCAGTCATTCCCCAGCTTGAATTTTTGCATTTGATTGTCTCATCCTTTACCAAAAAGCCAAAGCAAGAAAAAAATCACCTTTGGGCAAAGTCCAAACTTATACCATTCCAACCCAACATGTGAACATCTTTGTAAGTTTGCAATATAAGGAAACAGGAATAATTTTTTAATCTTAATTATGGCAGGTGCCACCAACATTATTCATTATGTTGCACTTCAGTAGAATTCCCAGTCATGAACCAAGATTCAATTGTGCTAGGTATTATACACAGCATATAAAGATGGTCCATATATTCAAATGTTGCAAACCTCACAAAAAATCAACTTATAAAATATAGTGGAAGAAATTTTAGAAATATATGCAAAGACAGATTTCATCAAACTACTGCTTGCTGAGATGTATGTCAAATTAATATGTTAGAATGACATCTTTGCAGACTAGAGATCATAAGGCCTGTTTTATAGTGCATTAAAATCTCATAACAACAATTTCAGAGAGTTAGCATAATGTATTATTCAAAGTTAAACATTGTCTTGAATGATAAGACAACCATGCCATCAGGCTATAATAAACTAGAGCTCTGAAAGATCAATTTTCATTTATCTGTTAGGTCATTTACATAGTTAGAGCAAGAACATAATGATGTATTTTTTCTGTCTAAAAGGAAAAAATGCACTTATTTTACAACATATTCAGGAAATATGAACATTCTGATAGAAAGCCATTATTAAGCCATTTAACCTTTTAGATTAAACAAATTGTCATGGATTTACTTATGAGGCTTGAAGTAAATACATTTCTAGTATCTTATACTGCATGTAAATAAAATTATTTAAAATTATACAGAAAATATTTCACCAGACACAAATGTAATTTGTCAAGAACTAACTATAACAATATAACATATTTGTCCAACATTTCAGTCAGTGACACAGTAAAACCATGCACCACTCCTTTGCAATTTTTATCCCAAAGCATCAGCATGGGTTACTTAGGGATGTACATTACCCTTAATCCACATATAAACTATTTAAAGTCTTTACATGAATAAAAGAGTGCATTTACATACAAGAGTGCATTTTTCTAACCCATTACATATCTAGTAATGGGTTAGAAAAAAGGCAGCTGAAAGAGGGGAACTGGTACAAAAGTGCCTTTATCCTCAAATGTGAGTCTACTCCTGCCTCATCCTGATCTGGAAAGTTACAGGAGTGATCATTGCCAAGTCATATCTTTCAGTTTGGTATGCCAGAGGAATGGTGCAGGGTGCCTTACACCAAAACCTAATGACTCACATTTAGTGGTGGTATGTGTATACCTATGCTTTCTGTAGACTTTCCTTCTGAAAATATGTAGCAAGAGAAGCCCTGGAACACAAACAAGACTTACAGCTACAACAAGAGAGGAGACAACAGAGATTAGCTGTTTTGTAGGATAAAGGATGAACTGATAACAGCAGTGATCAAAGTGCCTTTTTTGCCATAAACCTGAG